CACCAATCTAAGACTTTTCCTTGACCATAAGCTCTAGGTGAGTCAACAAAGGGATGTGACTACTTGAAAAAGAGGGAAAAAAGGTGAATTTGCCCTAGAGGTTTTTTTTTTTTTTTAAGATTTTATTTATTCACTCATGATAGACACAGAGAGAGAGACAGAGGCAGAGACAGAAGGCAGAGGGAGAAGCAAGCTCCATGCCGGGAGCCCGATGCGGGACTTGATCCCGGGACTCCAGGATCGCACCCTGGGCCAAAGGCAGGCACTAAAAGGCTGAGCCACCCAGGGATCCCCAGTGTTTTAATAGAATTAAGGGAGTGTTTGTCCAATTCTGCTTGAACTGGTCAGGTTGCATATGGGGGTATTATATTGTTTTCTGAGAATTACAGTCTCAGAGAAACAATGATAAACTTGAGCATGTCCAGAAAAGAAAGAACAGGACAGAGAGAAAGCTTAACACTACATCATGTGACGAATGATAAATGAATTGGTGGAAGCTATTTATTTTAAAAAAGAAAGAACATGATAACTTTTTTTTCCCTCTTTCATTCTTTTTTTTTTTTTTTTTTTTTTGTAATGGGGCTCAAACTCGTGACCCTGAGATCAAGAATCACAGGCTCTTCCGATTGAGTCAGCCAGGTGCCTGAGGGCAGGATAACTTTTTTCAAATGGTTCAAGGTCTGGTATGCAGATGAGGGAACTTTTATCTGACCAGAGGAAAAAACTAAGGATATGAGAAAAAGACATCTTAGCTCAGCATAAGGCAAAACTTCCCAAAGATTATAGTTGTTAAAAATTGGCATTTATTCATTTAAAAAATATTTATCAAAAAACATTTTAGAAAATATTTATTGAGCATCTACTATGTGTTCTAGGCCCTGAAGAAACAGTAGTGAATAGTGGTGAATAGAACCCATGGAGCTTTCATTCTAATGCAAAGCTGTGTCAGATGATGGCACGGTTCCCATACTTGGAGGTGTTTAATGAGGCAGTCACAAATTGAGGGTCTTGTAGGAGGAAACCAGGAATTTTTTTTTAAGGTTTTATTTATTTATTCATTAGAGACACAGAGAGGCAGAGACACAGGCAGAGGGAGAAGCAGGCTCCATGCAGGGAGTCCGACGTGGGACTCGATCCTGGGACCACAGGATCATATCCTGAGCCAAAGGCAGACGCTCAGCCACTGAGCCATCCAGGCATCCCAGAAACCAGGAATTAAGTGTGACCAGGCTTGATAATGTCTAAAGTATTGCCAACCCTGAAATTATAATGTTATACCTGATACAGTTTGATGGCTCTCCTATCCATTGATCAGGATGTACAGTCCTGTCTGTGGCTTGGCCATAATCTCCTACCCATCAATGTATATATGTAGGGCTGCCTTCACTAGGTATTTGTGGAGGGATGGGGTGCCATGAAGGATAAATGTATGACAAGTAATGTACCATGAAGGGAAACAATTTTCCTATTCCTCATTTTCACCCCCAAAGATATAGCAGCCATTTCTATTTGTTTTCATATTTTTCAACTTGCCATTGCCAGCTGGGGAAGGGGACTTCTTTCCTTACAAACCAATTTCTATTTTTTAATCTCTCTGAAAGAAGGTAAAGTTAGTGTGGCCAAAGATCATAGAATTATTGGGGCACCTGAGTGGCTCAGCTGGTTAAGTGCCAGACTTTTTATTTTGATTTTGGCTAAGGTCATACACAGTCTCACGGTCGTGGGAATGAGCCCTGCATTGGGCTCTGTGCTCAGGGGGAGTCTGCTTGAGATTCTCTTTCTCCCTCTCCCTCTCCCTCTGCCCCCCCCCCCCCCGCTCACACAGGAGCATGCGCACGCTCTCTCTCTAAAATAAATAAGTAAATCTTTAAAGATCATAGAATCCATAGTCTCTTAAAGTGAAATTAAATGTCAGAGAGAATTTAATCTAGTCCCGTCATTGTACACATGAGAAAAACAAAGAGTTAGTAGAATACTTATAAATACCTGAATATGGAGTGGTGGAGGTAGAAAAAAAAAATCCCTTTATACCTAAGAGAGAAGCACTAATAATTACTAGGCTTTTAGGCAGAGTATCTACTTTGGGCCAAGAAAGTTTTATGAAAAATCATGCAGAACTTCTAGAAATTACAAAGTTAATACTGAAATTTATTTTATTGGATGCATAAAATTGTAGCTTAGACTCAGTCAAAGGGAGAATGTAAATTAGAAGCTATATCTGAAGGGGGTACCTAAAATGTAGCATAGACAGTGAGATGGAAAATAGTAAAGAAAGGCTAAAAAATAAAGGGCAAATAGTCTAACGTATTATCAAATCAGCATGGCAGGAGGGAATAAAGCCTTGTGCTAATCAGGTGGTTAAAAATAGGACCACAATCAAACTCTAGTTTGTATGTGGGTGTTTTGATCATCAAAAAATAGGATAATAAAATAACGTCCGTTACATTCCTGATCAGGACAGAGGATGAGTGACTTGAGGACCATTCAATCTGGCGATTCTCAGAGGTACCCAATGTCTTCCTGAGAAGACAGGGACACCTATTGTTTTGCCCTGATAGCATTCACAGGCCCCCTGTCTTCAATCTAGGAAGAAGGGTCATGTTTGGAAAAAGGATCCCTTTGGTCTTCCCCAAATATGGAACAACTCTTTAAGAGGATAAAATTGGAAGCCAAAAACTCACTCTAGAAGGAAACCTGGACCATGATTCTAAGACCTTTTGTAAAACTATGAAATTTTTCATACTGATCACGTTGCTGTTATCTACTACACTCCTCTAGTGACTAACAGTAAGAGAATTAGGTAAAAAGGTAAAAGGTAAAAATAAATGTTTGTGGAGTAAAGAATATGGCAGTTGGAGAGATGAACAACAAGAGAAGCGGGCAGAGTCAGCTCCTGAGGGAAAGAGAGGTGTCTGAGTTCCTGGAGCCCCTCATGTAGGAAAGAAAACAGAAGCTGCTTCCAGCCTGGCTCTGAGGCGGAGTAGCAGAAAAAGACAAGTGGGATTCTCCACCAACACAGTCTACAGGACTCCCTGCGACTTAGGATACATATTCAAATGTGAAATGACAGTGTATGTAGATCCTCCCTGAGAGCTCAAAAGCGGAGTGGAGTTATGTTTCTGGCAATATGGTACTCTACGTATTCTTGAAACACTTTTCACTACAAAACCTCTAAAAACACTGGACTAAACATAAAAAATCATCTTCTTAAATTAAATGTATGGCTGAGCTGGAAGGAAAGTAAGGAAAATTCTTAGTGGCCTGCACTGAAATGGAGGGATCAGGAATGCAGAGAAACATCAAAGCTGTAGGCTGTGCCATGGCTCATGCAACCTTTCCTTTGTTGTTACCATCATGCAAAGCTCTGAAGGTATAATGTAAGATCTGGAAATTTCCTTAAATGCCTGGAACCAATAAATCTCCTTGATTTCGATGAGGGGCACTATATGCACGTTGGGGGCACATTTTCAACTCTGCCTTAGCTTTCATTTTCTGTTTGTAGAACCCTCAAGGTCATCCAAAGGGAAAGCTTAGGGCCTTTGCATGGCTTTCCCGGCAATACCCAGGACCCTGGGCATGAGCACAGCTCTAGACTTAAATGTCATCTTCTTGATTGTCAGGTAGAAGTCAGAGCTTTTCAAAGCCTCTCTATGTGTGTCCTTCCTCAGTCTTTCTTTTAAAGCTTTTGGTTACAGGTGCCTGGGTGGTTCGTTTGGCTAAGAGTCTGACTCTTGGTTTTGGCTCAGGTCATGGTGTCAGGGTCCTGGGATTGAGCCCCATGTCAGGCTCTGCTCAGCGGGGAGTCTGCTTTCTCCATCTCCCTCCCCCTTTACCTCTCCCTTTACGCCCTCTCTTGCTCTCTTAAATAATTGAATAAATAAATCTTTTTTTAAAAAAAAATAAAGCTTTTAGTTAGTCTAATGCTTTCTTTCAACTGGAATCCATCTCCTCAGGCAGCTGCAAAGCTAAGTAACTGCCTGTTATTATTTTTGACAAATGCTATGGGGAAAAAGCTTTTCACTGTAGGTGAGCTGACTTAGGTCAACTATAGATAGTCTTGCAAATGAGGCTTTCCAGGGAGCCACCAGACGGGTCACATAATTCTCTGGGAAGGAAGCTTTTAAGGAGTCCCACAACTACTTTCTGTTCCTTTCAGTTGCTATCAGGCTGCTGGTCTTCACTGAGAATGCGGGTTGTTAGTTTTCAAGAATATTGCAAAGCAGGATAAGACAGGGTTAAGTTACAAATGCCACACAGCTCATTTCTTTTACTGAGATTGAGCCTTTTTAAAAAAAATATTTAATTTACTTATTTTGAGAGAGAGAGAGAGAGAGAGAGAGAGAGAGAGAGAGAACTAGCGTGGGGGTGGGGAACAAGGGGTAGGAGGAGAGAGGGAAGCAGACTGAGCAGGGAACCTGACTTGGGGCTCAATCCCAGGACCCTGAGACCATGACCTGAGCCAAAAGCAGATGCTTAATTGACTGAGCCACTCAGGCGCCCCTGAGTTGAGCCATTTTTGTTTGTTTTTAATGAACACTCCCAGATTGTTGCAAGCCTTTGGATAAATATCAGAGTTCTGAAAAAGTTGACTCAGACCATTTTGCCAGTTTCTTGTTGCTTTGTGGAGGACAGAGTTTTCTGAGGTCCCTACTCTGTTGGTTTTGCTCATGTCACTTTGATGGGGAGTTTGAATAGGCATATTTTGTGCATTTGGCAACCACGTAGTGTTGCCAAATAGCATGGTGTTCTTTAAAAACTTAGGCTTAAAGGGGCCTAGGTTAAGGATCGACTCTTGGTTTCAGCTCATGTCATGATCTCATGGCCATGAGATCAAACCCTGAATCGGGCTCTGTGCTCAGCTCAGAATCTGCTTGAGATTCCCTATCTTCCTCTACCTCTCCTGCTTGTGCTCTCTCTCTCTAAAATAAATAAATAAATCTTAAAAAAAAGGTAAAAAATTAGGCTTATTAAGTTTAAGTATACTAATATAGCCCACTTACCAGTTAAAAGCTATGGAAACATGTATATTCTTTCCACCACCTTCTTCTCCTTCATAAAGTTGCTTTAGTTGTAGAGACTATAAAAGTGAATGAATCAATAAGTGAGTGAACCGATCAATCAATCAATGAATCAATCAATCAAATTTGTGATTCAAGGATCTAGTACAGGGATTAAACACAACAAATATCCAGAGAATGGGGCTGAATCAAAAAGCATATTGGCTTCGAATAGGCAAAACTGACCAATTCTCTACTGTATTTTATCCTCCACATAAGACTAAATCTTTAGCTTAATATTTATCTCACATAAAATTGTAACTTTGGGATGCCTGGGTGGCTCAACAGTTAAGCATCTGCGTTCAGCTCAGGTCATAATCCTGGAGTTCTGGGATCAAGTCCCATGTTGGGCTCCCTGCGTGGAGCCTGCTTCTCCCTCTGCCTCTGTCTCTACTTCTCTTTCTGTGTCTCTCATGAATAAATAAAATCTTTAAAAAAAATAAAATTGTAACTTTTATGTTAACGATTTTCCTTCCTTTTTTTTTAAGTTTTATTGAGAGAGACACAGGCAGATGGAAAAGCAGGCTCCACACAGGGAGCCCGACGTGGAACTCGGGGATTACGCCCTGAGCCCAAGGTGGATGCTCAACCTCTGAGCCACCCAAGCGTCCTAATTTTCCCACTTCCTTTAATGTTTACAAGCCATATCTTGGTTTGGGTGGAAAATGCATACTATAAAATAGTTTTAGCAGTAAATTCTTTCAATAAAGGAAAGGAAAAAAGGATAGAGGAGGGATGGGGAAAAGAAGGAGAAAGAGGAAGGTACTCTTGTCCCTTGTCAAAAGCAGTGGCCACTGACAAACTTTGAAAGTATTTGACTAATACATAGCAGAAATAATTATTTTCCATCAGAAAATTTATAACTAGCTCAATTGAAGGACATTAGTTAAAGAAGCTTGTCTGGAAATAATCTGAAAAGATCTTTGTGTCTCATGTCTTCCTTAATTTGTTATAATGAATGAGTCATAATATTTTAAGAGGATTAGAGCTGCTTATAATAAATGCTACATTTAAAGGACTAAAGAAGCTTTAGTAACAATATCATATAATATGATTAGGGTACAACATAATATGATAGGACAAGATAATATGATTCTTTCATTTCCTGTTTTCACTAGCAAATTACAGAAAAAAAAACAAACAAACCACAAAGCAGCTTTTTGTTTCATTCTTCGCTAGGGAAGAAAATATGAAGGTTAAGTATTATCTGGCTATGTATATACACTCCCACATGCACAAATACTGAGTTAACTTGATTTTATAAATGTGTAATAAATTTGGTGTCATAAATCATTTTATCTCTTTACTTTCCTATGACTCTCCTTTATTAATAATGAATATAAAAGCAGGCCTTCAATGACTATTCTAGCAAAGATAGTCCACATCTTTGAAAATTGTTTTATCTATATTAATACTTAAAATCATCGAATTAAAAGCAAATCATATTTTCTTCAGTTCTTGTGATATCAAAGTCACAAGACTCAAATTTGAAAAACACTGAAAAATAGGAAGGTTCCTCACAACATCAGACCTGTTCTGTTTAGTCTTTGTCAAGGAAAAATGCATAGAAGGGTAGTTCCAAGGGCACCTGGGTGGCTCAGGGGTTGAACATCTATCTGTCTTTGGCTTAGGTTGTGATCTCAGGGTCCTGGGATTGAGTCGGGCATCAGCCTCTCCACAGGGAGCTTGCTTCTCCCTCTGTCTATGTCTCTGCCTCTCTCTGTGTGTCTCTCAAGAATGAATAAATAAAAATCTTTTAAAAAAATGTTTTTTTTTTTTTTAAAGGGTAGTTCCAGATTAAAAGAGAAAAGAGGGACACCTGACTGGCTGTGGGTAGAACATGCAACCCTTGATCTGGGGTCATGAGTTCAAAACCCACATTATGTATAGAGCTTTCTTTTCTTTTTCTTTTTTAAAGATTTTATCTATTTATTTGGGAGAGAGAGAGCACAAGCAAGAGCAAGAGTAGAGGGGAGGGGCAGAGAGAGAGATGGAGAAGCAGTCTCCCCACTGAGCAAGAAGCCTGACTCAGGGCTCGATCCCAGGACCCTGAGATCATGACCTGAGCGGAAGGCAAATGCTTAACAGACTGAACCACCCAGGTGCCCCTAGAGCTTTCTTAAAAAATAAAAATTAAAAAGGCCAAAAAAATGTAATCTGTGACGATTAATTAGATGTTGATTTTTTTGCATTTATCTTTTTTTTTAATTTTTTTTTTAATTTTTTTTTTTTTTTTTTTTTTTTTAGGGACGCCTGGGTGGCTCAGCGGTTGAGCACCTGCCTTTGGCTCAGGGTATGATCCCGGGATCCGGGATCGACTCCTGCCTGGGGCTCCCCACAGGGAACCTGCTTCTCCCTCTGATTGTGTCTCTGCCCCTCTCTTTCTGTGTCTCTCATGAATAAATAAAATATTTAATAAATAAATAAACTGTCTCTGAGTTTTCTTCTAGAAGAACTCAACCTGTGACATGAGATGGGTATCAGATAACCTCTAAATGAGGAACTTTTCTTTAAGTTCTGTTTTCTTTAAAACTGCCAATGTCATCAAAGACAAAGAAAGGCCATGGGAATGTTCCAGATTAAAACAGACTAAAGACACATGACAACTAAATGTAACATATGATGTTGGGCTGCATCCTATACTAGAGAAAAATAAAAGGCCAAAAAGAACATTATTGAATCAATTGACAGAACTGGAATGTGGATTAGAGATTGGCTAAAAGTATTGCATTGACTTAAAATTTCCTTAGATTATTAAGTATGCAGCAATTATGTAGAAGTATGTCCTTGCTCTTAGGAAATAGACGCTAAAACATACAAGGACAAGGGAGCATGAGGTATGTAACTTCCTCTCAAATGATTCAGAAAAACTACATACACACATACAGAGACAGAATATAAATGCAAATGGAACAAAATTTTAACAGTTGGTGAATAGAGGTAAAAGTGATTTGAGAGGATTCTTTGAATTTTTCTTGTAACTCTTTTGCAATGAGATCATCTTCAAATAATAAGTTGAAAATATATAAATAATTACAGGTCAACCAGATATGGCAAAATGTTAATAATTAATCTAGATTATAAGTATGTAATTATTCTCTGCAATATTCTTTCAACTTTTCTGAATGTTTGAAATTCTTCACAATAAAAAGTTGAAAAAGGGGATGCCTGGGTGGCTCAGCAGTTTAGCGCCTGCCTCTGGCCCAGGGCCTAATCCTGGAGACCCGGGATCGGGTCCCATGTCCGGCTCCCTGCATGGAGCCTGCTTCTCCCTCTCTCTCTCTGCCTGTGTCTCTGCCTCTCTCTCTCTATCATGAATAAATAAATAAAATCTTTAAAAAATAAAAATAAAAAGTTGAAAAAATACAAGCCAGGGTATTTGCTATATCTCAACTCTTCAAGGCTTGCGGGACTTTATCTTTTGGAGCACTGTGCCCTGATTTCAGGTAGGGGCCACAAGTTAAATGGGTACTTTATCTGTGATTAAGTGAGAGAACACGTATTAGCATACCAATTAGACCCTGAAAGTTCTCTGCTCTCTAAAGCAGAACTCTTTAAATCATTAATTATTTACCTCCTCTAAGAAACTCCATTAGATGTAAGCTGAGTACCAAAACTTTGTCTTTTTAAAATTCTCTGCTATATCCTTAGTTGCTAGAACAATTCCCAGAACATTGCATATGCCCAAGAAACACCTGTTCAAAGAACAAGCGAGGAAGATCTTCAATAAATATAGACATTGCTATACGTAAATAATTTTACCTACTAAACATCAACTCCTGTCATTATGGTCAAAATGAAATTTGGCTTTACTCTTTTTTGCTTCCTTTCTCCTTCTTATTGCACGTTGGGAGCATCAGAATTCTGGAATTACTTCAGCAACCAAATAGTTTATCTGGATAAACCTGAGTCAGGCAATACTTTGAGGTAGTGCTGCTGGGCTCCTAGAGGGAGCAGCAGAGCCTTGAGGAAAGCAAGCCCGTCAGGGCACGAAGTAGAGAGTGACCTTGAAGGACGCGCAGCCGCTGCCCCGCCGCCGCCGCCGCTGCTGCTGCTGCTGCTGCTGCTGGGGACCTTGGAAGGGAGCACTCACCGCACAGGGTAGAGCAGACTTGACTCCCGGAGAACCGCTGTCCTACCACATGCAGAGGAATGAAGCCAGCCAGCGATAGGAAGCCAGGCGTCAGGGACTATAGCTTATTTATTGGCCAAGCACCGACACTCACTCACTAAGACCAAAAACAAATAAAGCTGCAGGAACCGGATCAGCCAGGAGTCAGAATGTAGAAATCATGGCTTGGAGCGAGAATCATGAGGAACCCAAACAGATGTGGAATAGCAGTAGCCTGGCCATCAGTTTTGTCTAATTTGGATGTTTGCCACATGGAGCTGGGTGGAAGTGTTAACCACAAAACAACAGCCTTCCCATACTCAAGTCCTCCTGGCAAACCACTGGGGCTTGCTGATGGTGCTAGTGGCTAACAGTCCCAGCTGGCAAGTGTCATCCAGGGACGCAAGGCTGCTGTTGTCTCCGGGCACCCTACATAGTCTACTGGACTATACTGTCCTTACTATTTCTACTCCCAGCTCAGGGTTAGAGCAAATGGAGCAAAGTATAACCAAAAGCCTCCAATTTTTCATCTTTATCCCCCTATCCAATCCCCACCTTCTCATTTTCAAATCTGGAAAAGCTGCTTGCTCCCTAGGCAAATAGTATTTAAAACAGTTTGTTTAAATTTGTAATTAGTTTTTTACCCTGAATAATAAAAAAAAAAAGATTCTTTTAACTAACGGACGCAGCAAATATCTCAAGTGTTTTCAAGTGAAATCCTATCATACTGCTCAAAAAAATACACACACATACCCCTCAACTTCTTGACACACTTAAGTGGAACATGAGAATTAAAATCACCACAGTAGTCTTAATACAGAAGTATAGTGTAAGACAGGATTTGTGATATGTAGGTGTCCTGAAAAATATTACTTAGGGTTGTTGTGGTTCTTTTAAGATTAAAAAAAAAATTTTAAGTCTTTGCTACCCCCAGCATGGGGCTTGAACTCACAACCCCAATATCAAGAGTCGCCTATTCTTCTGACTGAGCCAGCCAAGCCCCCCTATGGTTGGGTTTTATTTCATATATTTTACCCATTTACAGTGACAGTACTACATAAGATTTCTTCCTTTCTTTTTTATTTGATCTATTTCATTAGAAAATACTCAGCCTATTGGCCTATAAAAGAACTGGACTAAAGATATCACCAGTGTGGCCAAAAGCAGACTAAATTAGTATGCCAGCAAAGCAAAGGCAGTAAAACATTAAAAGGTTTAACTTCCATGGTTTAGTGTATAATTTTGCAATAAGAAAATTCTGGGGGGAGGTGGGGGAACTATTTTACTTTCATTAATTTATGAGTTTGGTTTAGTATATATACATACATTTTTATGTTGAATTATCTATGATAAAGGAGATCATAATTTTTTCAGTATTTCGGGCCTGTCAGGAAAAATTGTGAAGGATACTGAAATGGGAAGACAGATTCTGAGTATCCTGGTGTGTCTTTTCAGGTTCTCTGTTACTGCATGAATACTTCACAGTTGCACACATTGTTGACAACTTATACTAACACAAATGATCTTTGTCCATAGTAATATGAACTGTGTCTAGTGGAATGCAATAGATTATTGCCTGTGAAGTACTAACCAGTTTTGCCAATTTTGCAACTGTTTATAAACTCATTTCAACATTCCTGATGGCCTATATATGTATGATTTTTTTTTAAGATTTTATTTATTTATTCATGAGAGAGAGAGAGTGAGAGAGGCAGAGGGAGAAGCAGGCTCCATGCAGGGAGCCGGATGTGGGACTTGATCCCGGGACTCCAGGATCAGGCCCTGAGCCAATGGCAGGCACTAAACCACCGAGCCACCCAGGGATCCCCTATATGCATGATTTTTAATTCTCTCTTTTAAAAAAATATTTTATTTATTTATTCATGGGAGACAGTGAGAGGGAAAGAGAGAGAGAGGCAGAGACACAGGCAGAGGGAGAAGCAGGCTCCCTTTGGGGAGCCTGATGTGGGACTTGATCCTGGGACTCCGGGATCACCACCTGAGCCAAAGGCAGACACTCAACTAGAGCCACCTGGCACCCCTTGAATTCTCCTTTTAACCAGTGGTAACAGCTTTACTGATTCTACCATTCACTAATGAGTTAAATAAAACCTTTGAGACATGTTAATTTTATATTCATACATGAGTCGTGATTCGTTTGTTTAAAAAATTATCTTGGGGCACCTGGGTGGCTCAGTTGTTTAAGCATGTGACTTCTGCTCAGGTTATGATTTCAGGGTCCTGGCACTGAGACCTGACGGGCTGGCTGGGAAACGGGGGCTCCAAGATGGCGGATCACCCCCGCCAACCCTCTCCAAGATGGCGGACCTCCCCGCCACCTTCACTGCGGCCTCCAGGTCACCACCAGGAAACTGAACTTTTCCACCCAGGAACTTCCCAATTGGGAACTGCCCATCAGGGGCTTCTCCCACCCCATGACCTCCATACCTTACCTAATATGGACACAAGCCTATGTCCTGCCTCAACCCTATAGAAGGACCCTGCCAACTCCCTCCCAGCGCGACTTCCACGACTCACGGGGGCGGGGGGGAGTGAGTCGTGGAACCTCGCCCGAGGGTGCTGGCAATAAAGTCCATCTCTCGGATCCACTTGCCTTGTAGCCTCTCTTCTTACCACCGTCGGCGGGAGCATTTGGTGCCGAAACGCGGGAGGTAGGTCGGCCCTTGCCAGGCACAGAGGCTCCCTCCTCCTCACCCGCGGACCGCAACCTCCGGCCGCCACCTCGGGAAGGCTTCCTTCGGAACCGCGTGCGGTGAGTGCTCCCTGGCCCCTGGTCCACTTCCGGGTTGCCCGGTCCCAGCCGCGGCCGCGCCTGGGCAAACCCCCGGCCACCTGGCGGCCCCGTCAGTCCCAAGGAATCGGCAGACGTCCTCATTCCACGGGAACTACTGTCCCTCCGGTGACTCAGTGCGCGGACGAGAGGACGCTCTCCTCCGTAATCTGAGTCGGTAGTGAAGGGGACCATGGGAGCCTCCCAGTCCAAATTCGACTCCGAAACGCCCTGGGCTGCCTTCTGGCCAACATCCGTACATTAGAATTGGACCGAGGACGTACGTAGGCGACGCCTCATACATTGTTGTACGGTTGCTTGGCCTCAGTACAAATTAGACAACCAATCGCAATGGCCTCCCGAGGGCACATTTGACTATCAGGTGCTCACAGATCTCGACAGTCTATGCAGGCGTCAGGGCAAGTGGTCCGAAATTCCCTATGTCCAAGCTTTCTGGACCCTACGGTCTCGACGGTCCTCGTGCTCCCCGTGTTCAACTCTCAGGTCCTCCTTGCTCGCGCCCCTGCCCCCCTCGGCGCTCTTCCCCTACCGCACCTGCGGAACCAGACTCTCCTCTTCAGTCCTCTCTTTCTGAACCGCCCGAAAACCTTTCTGCACCCCCTTCTCGAGCTCCCACCTTACGCCCTCCTCCTCCTCAGCTCCCTCCTCGCCCCCCCCCCCGGCGCCCCCTGAGCCCTCCGGGGAATGGGCGACCCCAGCACCCCTGCAGGCCCCGAGAGCCCTTTCCGAGGTCGAGCCTCCACCCCGACGCGGGCCGAGTCTGTCGGACTTCCCATCTTCCCCTCCCATTTCGGCCCGGACGCGCTCCCAAAACCCTCTGTCCAGCTTAGCCTGCCCCTTAAGGGAGGTGGCTGGAGCCCAAGGGGTCTTTGGAGCGCACGCGCCCTTCTCCCCACAGGACCTCTCCCAAACTGAGAAACGCCTGGGTTCCTTCTCGGCCAACCCAGGCAATTCCATAAAAGAGTTCCAATATCTGGCCCAAGCCTATGATCTTACCTGGCATGACTTACAGTGGTTCAGACCACTACCCTCACCACCGAGGAGAGGGAACGCAGCCAGGCCGCCGCCCGAGAGCACGCCGCCCGAGTCCATCTCGCCGACGCCCCGAAGCCGGCAGGCGCTCAGGCGGCCCCGCTGTAGAGCGCGGAAGGGACTCTCAGAATGGCCAAGATGGCCGCCGCCGGCGAGACCGCAGGGCTCGCTGCCTGACCGCCGGCCTGACGGCAGCTTCCAATAAAGCGGCTAACTACGGTAAGATCGGGGAGGTTATCCAAGCCCCAGACGAAAACCCTGCCCTGTTCCTAAAACGGCTGACCGAGGCTCTAGCACAGTATACTAGATTGGACCCGGCCTCCTGGCGGGAGCCACGGACCTGGCGACCACTCATTTCCCAATCGGCGCCGGACACCAGAAAGAAACTAAAACAGGCAGAGGAGGGCCCTCAGACCCCCATCTCTGACCTGGTGAAAATGGCCTTTAAGGTTTTCAACTCCCCAGAGGAGGCAGCTGACCCCAGACGGCAAGCCAGGCTCCAGCAGAAGGTCCAACCACAAACCCAGGCCCCGGTGGCGGCCCTGCGGGCGGCTGTTTCCGGAAACAGCGACGAGGGGCAACCGGACGTGCCCCGGGGGGCAGGCTTTAAGGGCGCTGCCGGAGGGCACTGGGTAGTGACCTAACCCGAAGGCACCCACAAGGCCGTGCCCTCAGTGTCACCTGATGGGACACTGGAAGTCGGACTGTCCTAGCCTCGGGGGATCCTCGGCGCCTCTACGCCGAGGAACCCCTGAACCGGCAGGTCCTGTTCTTCAGCTACTCGGGCTGGAGGACGACTGACAGGCCCGGACTCAGACACCCCCTCACCCAAGCCGAGCCCAGGGTAACGCTGCAGGTAGCGGGTAAGTCCATCTCCTTTCTGCTGGACACGGGGGCTACCTCCTCAGTCCTGCCATCCTACTCAGGACCCACATATGCCTCACCGGTCGCGGTGATGGGGCTCGAGGGTACCTCCTCTTCCCCTAGAATAACCCGACCTCTTACTTGCAGCCTGGATGGTTTCCCTTTCTCTCATTCATTCCTCATAATCCCCACCTGCCTAGTGCCTCTCGTGGGAAGGGATATCCTCCAAAAACTGCGGGCCACCATCCGTCTCTCTCCTCCTTCAGCCTGGGACTGTCTTCTACTGCCACTCCTCCCCTCTCCTCCAACTCCCATTCCTACAAATCTGCCCACCGTTAATCCCCAAATTTGGGATACATCCAAACCCACCGTCGCCTCCCACCACAGTCCTGTTCATATCCGGTTAAAGAATAACTCCACATACCCTTCTAGGGCTCAGTTCCCCATCTCCCTTACCCATCGTAGGGGTCTCAAACTTATAATAGGCCGCCTAAAGCAGCGGGGCCTTCTCATTCCTATCAACTCCCCCTGCAATAC